AATAGGAATATCTTTATGTAATTCAGCCATAGTTTCCAGTCAGCTTTCAGCCACATTCTAAAGCTTTAGAAAATTGGCCTTAATCAAAGCCACTGATCAGAATCATCTAATAGTGGGTTTTGTCCTATTCAGTATCTACTCTTCTTTGAGCACAGTTTAACTAAATCACCTTATACCTTAGCTAGGGGCCTACACGATGTTTAGTACATAAAGTATCAGAGCATATATGGATAAGCAAGTGAGTTTTTTTACTCATATTTAATTAGTTAACAAATTTATGAACTGCTCTGATAATGTCCATTATATGACAAACGAAAGCTTACTACTTTAAGGATATGCCATCAAGTACTTAATATCTTGGATTAGCCCTTTTTCACCCTAAATGATGGCGAATGCTTCGGGCATATGGTCAACTTTAATTCCCAAATAAAGCCAAACGGCACCTAGTCAGGAAGGCTCTATTTGCATCTCATAATGGAAGCGACCTTCAGATATCTTTTTGCTACGTCTTCATTTGAAATAGAATTGAGCTCAGAAATTGTCAGTATACACAACTAACACTAGTCGATACCTTTCATTCTGCCTCACTCGACGTTCCGGCTTAACAAATCTCGCTAACCGTACTGACCCCAAAATTTTATTTCTAGCAAGTCAATCCGACGTCGAAATTCACACCACAAAAGGTATTAAGAAAAAGGACTAATTCAAGGAACCTCATCCCGGGCTCTGTTTTCCTTTCAGCAACTTTTCCTTTTTTTCTTACATCGCCGTCATTGAGCATGGTGTTCACTTCTAGATTAGCGATTTGCCGTCAGCACAATCGTCTGTGAAAAGTCCTGACTCGGAGCCTATCCACACTTAATATAATCGTATTGTCAACCAGCTAGCCCCTTTCTTAATGCCAATCAATCGCCGCCTCTAACGTGTAATGCTTTAGGTGCATTGCTTCGTCCTCCCTCTCACCTGCATACTCTTGTCAGTAAAGGCCAACATCAGTAACAAATTCTTCCCTCTATCTTTACTATCGGTCTCAGGACAGATACTATGGAATTATTCGTCTAAAGGGAGTTTTATCTTTTCACATCACAAGATTCAGATATCTGCCTATGCGCCTTTATCAAATATGAAGTCAAACTGCTCTCCTATTAGTGACGAAATCGTCGGAATTATTTATAATGGGTCCATCATGTTTCTGATAATTATCGTTTAGTGAGCGTGTATCCACTTGTCCAAACTGCACCCTGAACTCTATTCAAGTAGAGGCCCTAAGTAGCAAATTTAGCAGAAATAGAAACAACAGAAATCAAGCCATCACAATTTGTTCATATAAGCAATATGAAATTGTGTGAAGCAATGTGAAGATGTTGCACGTCGTCACATAATAAGTTCATTAAGATAGATTTACCATTCCAGATGGACGAAACGCTTCTTGAACTCTTTGCCTCTGATCATGTGATTGACCTTACCCTGGCCCAGGCCTAGGATTCGTGTATTCAAGTCCTCTACCTGACTGCGGTGTATCATAAGAGCATCGTGGTAATCGCGGATGAGACCAGTCCCTAGGCGATTGCTAGCCGTTCCGGCTCCTGAGGAGCTACAAGTTCGCGAGACTTCACCGGCGTTGATATTAGTTGGAAGAGAGTGAACATTTACCTCGACTTGGCCCTGTTTCATCAACAATTGCAGCTCCATGTCAGCCTGGTTTCGGTTAACATCAGATGACAGCTGAGCTTCCTGTTCCTCTAGCCCACGCAGCATTTCATTTAGGTCGGCCTGATCTGCTGTACGATGCTGAATGCGTTAAGGTTGAAGGAAGAAGTTTATATTAAATAGTAGCATAATAAAATCCTTAAGCAAAATACAATTTTACTCTAATAAATAGACTAATCGTGCATTTCATAAAATGAGAATATTGCTTGTAGCTGATATTTTATGGCATGGCTATGCGCAGTCCGTTCCCCCAAGTAAATTCACAAGCAAAGCTTGTTTTGCTATAAGTAATGATGCCTAAAAATGTGAATCCAATGAGATTGTGATCACAAAGGGTAGTCTTTGAATTTAATTCAGCATTAGAGAAGCTTTTTTTCAATTAAAAGCCTCCCAAAAATTTGATTATAATGAGGAAGCAAACACATATAAAAACATAGCATTTCTATCTTTTCACAAGACTTAATTTTCGTTTATAAGCAGATTTTCGAGACTAATAGTAGATCATATACATGAGATCTATTCGCCCTATTTCATTTAATGTGATAAAGGGACTAGTAGTTGAATTTTTTCGGCAATGATATGATTATATCTTACATTTCCATTGAATTTCAGATAGCCCTGCTTTCCTAAAAGTTACTCTTATCCAGGGTGGACTGTGATTTTGACCTCTCCTAGGTCGCATCAGCACCCACAGTTGGGCTCGAACCATGGCAATGCAGTATGTAATCTCGATACGTTAACCAATACACCACATTACCACGAGTTTCCTTTAGGCCAGGGCAGATGAAAATCCCACGGAAGGGCAGGCATTTTCCCATATCATATTTTTGGGTGGGATTGTAGATGAATCAAAGTTGTATTTGTTATAACAATAAACAAGAATAATTAATGAAGTATAAAGCAAACTGTCTGATGCTGGGAATTATAACTAATATGGCAGAGGACTTCGGACTATGTGCGTTCTAATAAGTCTCCCTGAAAACAAGACCAAGTTGCGACAACGAGGTCATCCCACTTATATAAATCGAAAGGAGACTGCGACCATATCGGGGGCCAAACCATCTAGGTCTTCATATCTTCGATTAAACTACGGTGGCGAATGGAAGGTATGAAGACCAAGATGGTGTGGCCTTTTGTATGTCGCAGTCTCCTTTCGTTGTATTGAAGTTGTTTGACCTTGTTTTCGCGACTAGGTCATATTGGTAGGAAGATTTAAAAGAACGCACCTAGTCCGTAGTCCATTGTATGCATAATAATTTCCAAAGTCGGACCGTGGACGTGGTACATTCCCAGATGTTTCGCCGACATAGTAGTCGGCATCGTCAGTAAGTTTTACCATTCGTAGCACCATATTACAAGTCGTCAAAGAGACAAGTGAAACCGATCCTTTGACCAAATGTGTGCTAAACAGTTATGGTATCTCCCATTCTGCCCTGGCTTATTCAAATTTCCTATATCCTCCTATCACACCTTCAATGACACCATTTTTTTACTTGCTTAATTAAATGTGGTATGGTGTGCCCTTTTATTAGCGGCTTTTATGAGAACTCTCCGCACTCCACGCTGGCCTTCTCACCCCTTTTATCCTTGTGCTGGGAATGTGGATTAGAGTCTGCCATATTGTTACGCAGTCCTCCTTCCCTAGGTCTTATCACAGTCTCTCTCTTGCCCCGT